CCGGGACTCCAGGATCATGACCTGAGCCGAAGGCAGAGGCCCAACTGACTGAGCCACCCAGGTGCACTCTGTGGATGTTTTCTTTTCCTCAGGCCTTTTAAAATTGTCTCCCCTACCACGGAACCATCGGTGATGGGGAATCAGAGCTCCTGTCAGGAGAGGGAGTCTGACAAACAGCTATCCCGTCCAAGGAAGGCAAGCAGGTGTGCAAATTGCCCCCTCTTCCCCAGGAAACGGCAATGATGGAAAGTAGCAATACAAGACCCTTTCAAGGTCTTATAATTGGAGTGCACCCACTTTCAGTTCTTTAATGAGGGTCTGTTGGAGGGCAGGCCTGGCGCCAGCGCCACAGTAATTCTAGCTCTAACAGAGGATATTGAAGTTGCGGCAGTTGAAACGCTCACACCCGGCTCTCAGGAGCAGATAGGGTGCTAGCAAGGCAGAGGGGAGTCTCTGCCACCTGCCTGCCCGCCTCTTGGCACCCCCTCCATGCTCTTAGTGGAGTGTCCCTGGAGGCTCAAAGCATTTACTTTGAAAAAGTTAGAGTGTTCAGAGCAGACCAGAGCCACCTGGACACCACAGCTAGAAATAGAGGACTAGGACTGTAATTCTCTTCCGATGGCTTTTGGATCGGAGACCATGATCAAGAGGGATGGCTGGGGACATTCGTAATGCACTGCTAGCGGTGAAATTCTTGAACTGATACAAGTAAAAAAAAAAGTTTCTTATTAAAAAAACGAAACATTTTCTCTTAATAAATGTAAATGATGCCTACATAGCCACATGCATTTTGGGGTCATCACGGGGGCGTTAGAAAAACAGGGGAGACTGTGTCAGGGGCATTTGAAACATCTGCTTTGTACCAGCAGCTCCCTACTTCAGGGGGCATTGGAATTACCTGGAGGGTTTGCTAAACTACAGATCGCTGCGTTCTGCACCCCCCTTCCCCACAGATGCTAAACCTGGGGTGAGGCCCGAGAATGTGCATGTCAGACTTTTTCCCAAGGAACTGATTCTGCTGGTCCAGGGACCACCTTCAGAACCACTGAGCAGCACAGTCCAATTCTAACCAGAAAGGATGTGTTCCAGAGTCAAGGGAAATTATGCAGGCATCCTCATGGGTTAGCAGATCCGTGCATTTGCATTCCATCTAGCAACCCAGGGCCTCTCCCATTACTAAAGCAGGAAACTTTCTCAGGGAACCAGATAGGGACATTTCAGCAGTGAATGAGTTTTTGAAGGATTTTTCCTCCTTTCCTCAAAGTTTTCCTTCTCCACATGATCATCAAACCACTGGGGTAGTCTCTATAAAATGGTCTCAGCAGGGGTGGAGGTGGGGGACACCTGGCTGGCTCAGTCAGTAGAGCGTGCGACTCTTGATCTCAGGGTTGTGAGTTCGAGCCCCATATTGGGTATGGAGATTACTTTTAAAAAATGGGGCGCCTGGGCGGCTCAGTCGTTAAGCCTCTGCCTTCAGCTCAGGTCATGATCCAGGGTCCTGCTTCTCCCTCTCCCACTCCCCCTGCTTGTGTTCCCTCTCTCGCTGTGTCTCTCTCTGTCAAATAAATAAATAAATAAATAAATAAATAAATAAATAAATAAAATCTTTAAAAAATGATTGATCTCAGGGGATTCATGTTGTAGTAATTCCTCAAACAGAAGCTACCAGCATCTGTAACAATAAGCACTTTTCACCAGCCTATGTGAAAACACATCATCAGTGTTTCTGCTTTTGTGGGGCAGGGAGGATTGAAACCAAACAACTCTTACCAGAATTTGAGGAGCTGACCAGAATGTTTAAGAAAAGATTACAAGATAACAGACCTTTAAAATCTGGCATTGGATTTTTTTTTTTTTTAAGATTTTATTTTTAAGTAATCTCCACACCCAATGTGGGGCTTGAACTTACAAACCTGAGATCAAGAGTCACATGCTCTTCCAACTGAACCAAACAGGAGCCCCTGGATTTGTCTAATTATAGCAAAGTGCTGTGTTTTTTTCAGAAGTTTCAAATGCAGGAAAAGCTCCATGTTCACCAGAATGTGGGGATTTGGGGCACTTGTTTTCTCCTTGTGTTATAAGTTCCTAGAACAATACCTGGCATGTGATAGGTGCTCTATAAATACCTGTTAAGTAAATAATTAAAACCTAAATTTTATAAACCGTAAAAATTCACAACTCAATTACTGTTGCTCCTGAGGTTATAATTCTGTGGCTTTCAAGGTGCAGATACGTTCTCTGGGGCTCCTTGTCAGGAGTTGAAGTTTGCTCTCCTAAGTAGAGCCTTCTAAACCAAGCATGACTCACTTTCCCTCAACAGTCAGCCTATCCATTTATATAACTCCTAGTGGGATGTAATGTGGAGGAGCAGGCTCGAAAAGCATATGTATTACCAGAAGTCATGCTGTTAAGTCTATTCCCATATTATACTGTCTTCTTTAATAAAAGAAAGACAAAGGAAGGGAAACACACTTAAAAACCTCTATATAGGGGTGCCTGGGTGGCTCTGTTGGTTAAGCGTCTGCCTTTGGCTTGGGTCATGGTCTTGGGATCCTGGGATTGAGCCCCGCATAGGGCTCCCTGCTCAGAAGGGAGTCTGCTTCTCCCTCTTCCTCTGCCCCCCGCCTCCCCTGCTCATGCTCTCTCTCTCTCATAAATAAATAAAAAATACTTACTTTCCCCTATTAAAAACAGAAAAACCTCTATGTCTACCCACTAACCTGACACACTTACTAGATTGGTATTGAGCAGATTAATTCTGGACCAATGCCTTGACAGTTGTCAACAGAGCCCTCTGTCTCTGTTCAGCCACATTAGCTCATTTCTTTTTTTTTTTTTTTAAAGATTTTATTTATTTGAGAGAGAGAGAGTGAGAGACAGCACAAGAGGGAAGAGGGTCAGAGGGAGAAGCAGACCCCCTGCTGAGCAGGGAGCCCGATGCGGGACTCGATCCCGGGACTCCAGGATCATGACCTGAGCCGAAGGCAGTCGCTTAACCAACTGAGCCACCCAGGCGCCCTAGCTCACTTCTTTTTAAAAGATTTTAGTTATTTATTTGACAGAGAGAGAGAGAGCACAAGTGGGGGAGCGGCAGGCAGAGGGAGAAGCAGACTCCCCGCTGAGCGGCACTCAATCCCAGGACCCTGGGACCATGACCTGAGCTGAAGGCAGACACTTAACCGATGGAGCCAGCCAGGCGTCCGTCCAGACACTAGCCCATTCCAAATACTCTATCAGTCGGGGTGCAGACAAGAAAGCCGAAACCACACTAGGTAGTTCAAACATAGCAAATCTAGGAAGAGGATTTGTTATGAAAATATTTGAAGAGCTCACTGAGCAAAATGAGAAGGGAGGGCACCCCAAAGTTCAGTGTTTGCAAGCAGTTGTCCCATACCCAGGGCTGGGAGATCCTGAGCACAGAACACACTCCCTGCCAGCAGTTATTGCCAAAACCCCGAATTTCTGCTGCTGAAACTGCCCAAGGCTGTAGCCTGCAGTCTTGCATTGCTACAGGAGAGGTTTCCAGAAACAGAGATAGAACAATGGCTTCTCCTCTTTTTCTGCCTTCCAGTCTCCCCCAGTGCTTCCCCTATTTGGTCAAACACAACTAGAAGCCAGCTGCCCAGGGATTCCAGGAAATGCAATTTGTAGTGGTCCAGTCCTCTGCAAAACAGAGCAGAGCACGAGGATAGGCACTCCATTTCCATTCCACTGGAGAATGAAATGGAGCTGAGAACAAACAGGAACATAATTGGATCTCTCACCTTTAGATTTTTGCTTTTATTTTTTATTTATTTATTTTGAGAGACAGAGAGAGAGAAAAAGAGCAGGGGGAGGGACAGAAGGAGAGAGAGGAAGGGAGAGAAGGAGAGAATCCTAAGCCTGTTCCACGCCCAGCACGGAGCCCAATCTCACGACCCTGAGATCATGACCTGAGCCAAAATCAAGCGTCGGACACTTAACCGACTAAACCACCCAGGCGCCCCTAGATTTTTGTTTTTAAGTAAAATGAGACAGGTACCTGTCTTCCAAACTCTAGAGAACACATGTTCACTCTCTGAGTGATTGTCTGAAGCATCCACTTACTTGGCTTGAGATGGGCAGTGAGTAGCGAAGCACAACAACAAACTTCCATGGTGCTGAAATACTCAAAATACTGAATACCTTTTTTTCAATCTCATGGTTATCCTGTGACAATCGTGTTGATATTTTGTGCTGAGGATGCAAAAGCGATGGTGGGTAGGACTGCTGGTGCGTTCCCCTGACTCGAAACAGTGGCACCAAACCGTGCTAACAGTTACTGTATACCTCGCATGCAGAGTCAAAATAAACGCCCTTTTCACTAAAGAACCTTTTTAATGACATAGGAAACAGAAGGATGTGTAAAGTGCTCTGACTCCCTGCTGCTCCAACGCTGGTTCTGGCTTAGCTTCTGCTCTGTGTAGCCTTACCTTACAATGCACCCAGATACTTGGAGAATAGCAGGTTTGTTGGTCTATTTGTGAGAGTGAGTCAACTGAAGACCTCTTATACCTCCTATAAAAACAACAATGCCTCATGGATTGTGTCCTTTTTTTTTTTTAAAGATTTATTTACTTTAGAGAGAGCAAGAGAGGGGGCAGGGACAAAGGGAGAGAAAATCCCAAGCAGACTCCCCGCTGAGCAAGGAGCCTGAGGTGGGGCTTGATCTCAAGAACCCGAGATCATGACCTGAGCAGAAATCAAGAGTCAGATGCTTAACCAACTGACCCATCCAGGCACCGGGGACCGTGTCTTACTAAGGGTCTAGTTATGCAGAGGGAGGGTCTCTCAGAGCTCCTGGTCATATGATAACAGAAGTGATTATAGGGCGAGCATAAAATAAAGATATTTCAGATAGGCAAGTTTCCTTTCATAGAAAGCTGTGAAGGAGGTATTTATCAAAATAGGGAAGGACACCAAAAAAAAAAAAAAAGGAAGTGAGCCTGAGATCAGGAAAAAGGCAATTTAACATATCACCCCAAGATGATGGTGAAGGTAACTCCACAGTGACAGGTGTACATACACAGAGAGAGTGAAAAACCCACATGTGTGCTCAGAAAGCACCAGGGAGGAATTTGGATAACTGGTAAAGAATTTGGAGTTGAATTACTGATCAGCATTGATAAAACAAAGTGTGTGGGGAAAAAAATTAATTCCTGAGGGGCGCCTGGGTGGCTCAGTCGTTAAGCGTCTGCCTTCGGCTCAGGTCATGATCCCAGGGTCCTGGGATCGAGCCCCGCATCGGACTCCCTGCTCGGCGGGAAGCCTGCTTCTCCCTCTCCCGCTCCCCCTGCTTGTGTTCCCTCCCTCGCTGTGTCTCTCTCTGTCAAATAAATAAATAAAATCTTTAAAAAAGATTAATTCCTCAGAAGATAAAAAGTTATGCAGAAAAGGAAAGTAATCGTAATTTGCTATGTCTTTTTTTTCATTTTCTAACACCTTTATTTTTTTTTAAGTTTTTATTTAAATTCCAGTTAGTTAAAATACAGTGTAGTATTAGTTTCAGATGTACAATATACTGATTCAACATTTCCATACATCACCTGGCACTCATTAAGTTAATGGTCATTCAAGTTTGAACCTGTTCTTTTCTCCTCTCCTCCCTTTTAGGTGTATTATATTTTACATCCTTTTGTATACGTGTAAGTTCTTTCACTGATTTTTACGGAAATATTTTCACTGCTTTTGTGTTTCCTCGATGTGGCCTCTTCTCTCCTTCAGTTATGGAGTTTGTTCTGTTAGTCTTCAGGTCCATTTCTGGGGTATTTAGGATGATTTGATAGTTTTCTAGTTGTGTTCGTGGGAGGAGGCAAGCCTAGGGTCCTCCTCTGCTGTCGCCATCTTCCTGCTCCTAAACGTTTCAGTTTTTAATAAATTCCATAGTCATAATAATCAGAGTGGAAGTTTAATGTATAATGCTTCCTGCTGAGGAATCAAGACGTAGCGAGACAAATGAATTAAATGTAAAAGCAATCAGCGAGGTGTGCGTGGCTCTCAGTCGGTAGAGCACCTGAGTCTTGGTCTCAGGGTTGTGAGTTCAAGCCCCATGTTGGGTATAGAGATTACTTAAAAATAGAATCTTTCAAAAAAATAAATAAAAGTAATCAGCTCAGGGCGCCTGGGCGGCTCAGTTGGTTAAGGCACTGCCTTCGGCTCAGGTCATGATCCTGGAGTCCCGGGATCGAGTCCCGCATCGGGTTCCCTGCTCGGCAGGGAGTCTGCTTCTCCCTCTGAGCCTCCCTCCCACTGCTCATACTCTCTCTGTGTCAAATAAATAAATAAAATCTTTAAAAAAAAAGTAATCAGCTCAGTATTGTGGGACATTAAAAACCCTGTCATCCAGGACATATTGCTTTCACTGGAGCTAATTCCACACGCTTCTTTCAACAGGGTGATTTCCTGCCACTGGCCTCAAGATCATCGAGCCATCGCCTGTGGAACTACTCTATTTTGAATCTTGCTGCCTGAAGTCTGGTTGCTACCACTGATTGGTCCACACTGTAAAGTTACATTGCGTTCAGCCTACGGAATGGGCAGTTTTTACATTCGTATTTGACAACTCCATCTGTTGTCCCACTCTGAAAAATAGAAATTAAAAACAGAAATGAGTGTTTGGACCTGAAACCGAGCCTTTACATATAATGTCGTTTACACAGAAATTACTGTATTTCAGGGAAGCTAACAACAGTATGAGTGGCAATGAAAAAAAGTATGGAGGAAAAGGGCTTTTATGTGGCTCATCAGCTACTCCTAGAACCCCTGTCATTAACTTTTTTTTTTAAAGATTTTATTTGTTTATTTGGGAGAGAGAGAGCACAAGCAGAGATTGAGGAATATTAAGTTAAATAGAATTTTTAAAAAGATTTTATTTATTTGAGAGAGAGAGAATGAGAGAGAGAAGAGAGCGTACAAGCAAGGGGGAGGGGTAGAGGGAGAAGAAGATTCCCCACCAAGCAGGGAGCCTGATGCAGCAAATGATCCCAGGACCCTGGGATCATGACCTGAGCTGAAGGCAGACGCTTAACCAACTGAGCCACCCAGGCACCCCTGTCATTAACTCTTTCACTAACTCATTCAAGGGCCTGACAGAGTCACATCATCTCTTAGTATTATGTTCTGATTTGTTACATGACAATACCTGTCCTAGTTACAGTACACTGTTATGAAATTCATATGTACTGATGTTCATGAAAGTGCTTAGAAAAGTGTAAAAACCTAGAGCACAAAGAGGGATGCTGGTCCAGGGCTCCCCCCAGGAATAAACCGTGTATGAGAACTCTGAAAAAAACCATATATAAGACCCCCACACATTGCCAAAAAAATACTGTTTTTATTTTATTTTTAAGATTTTATTTATTTATTTGAGAGTGCAGAGCAGGGGAAGAGGCAGAAGGATGGAGAGGGAGAAGCAGACTCCCCACTGAGCAAGGAGCCCGATGTGGGGCTCGATCCCAGGACTCTGAGATCATGACCTGAGCCGAAGGCAGATGCTTAACCAACTGAGCCACCGAGATTGCCCTTGCCAAGAAAAATTTTAAAATATTTGGCTTCTTATTTGACCTCCAGCACACATATTATGTATTTTATAAATAGGTTGTCCAAAAAGGAAAATAAACAGATATTAATGAAAACATTTCCTCCACAAAAGCCAAATTTATAATCTCAGGAATCTTTACACATTAAAATATTAAAAGGAAGATACCCCAAGAAGGTTATCATATTGGAGTTTTGTTTAGAAAAGAGACATATCAGTCCCCTCTGATCTTCTCTGTCAGCTGGTTTACAGTTGTCACTTATCCAAAAACTAACTTGATAGGAATAATCAGAATTGGCTCTGAGAAAAAAAATAAAAATAAAAATAAAAAAGAATTAAAGAATTCAAAAAAACCAAAAAACAAAAAATAAGAATAAACAAACAAACAAAAAAAGAAATTGGCTCTGATATTGTGATGCATTAGTTTCCAGATTTGTTAACATTTCTCTTTTCTGAGCTATGTTGTTTTATCTAGAGCATCTTGTGAAGAATCTCATTTGGTTTTATGCTTTCCATCATCTCTTCTCTCTCATTGGATTATCTCCCTAGGTTGACAAGATCCTCAATTTTCTCCATAGTAGATATTAAGTTATTTATGCTGTGTGTTGGTGGATCCGCAGAGGAAGCAGCAGAGATTGAGGAATATTAAGTTAAATAGAATTTTTAAAAAGACTTTATTTATTTGAGAGAGAGAGAGCGCACAAGCAAGGGGGAGGGGTAGAGGGAGAAGCAGATTCCCCGCTGAGCAGGGAGCCCAACAAGGGACTCGATCCTAGGACCCTGGGATCATGACCTAAGCCAAAGGCAGATGCTTAACCGACTGAGCCACCCAGGTGCCCCAAGTTAAACAGAATTTTTAACTCAACTTATTATTTAAGTTAATACTTGGCTTAAAAAATACTTAATATTCTGGGATTGCCTGGGTGGCTCAATCAATAAAAATCAATAAAAGATCAATAGAAATTGATCTCTGATGCCTCCTCTGGGTAAACTAATCTTAGCCACTATCTGTCTCAATGATTCCAGATCCTTCCACTACAGCTTTCTTCTGAGTAACTGTACGCCTTATGATTTTCTGAACTCACCCTTTCAAGTCAGAAAAAATTAAAACTGTGCTATTATATTTGGAAATCACTGTTAATTTATTAACCCTCACTGAGGCTATAAATGAAAAATAATAGATAATATCCTTTATTTTTTTTTAAAGATTTTATTTATTTGACAGAAAGAGACACAGCGAGAGAGGGAACAGAAGCAAGGGGAGTGGGAGAGGGAAAAGCAGGTTCCCCACGGAGCAGGGAGCCTGATGAGGGGCTCGATCCCAGGACCCTGGGATCATGACCTGAGCCGAAGGCAGGCGCTTAACCGACTGAGCCACCCAGGTGCCCCAGATAATATCCTTTAGACTACTGGTGTCTTCCTAAGGAATTTTAAATGCAAATAGAGGAGCCTATGGACTCCTATAGAGAACTCATTTCTACTCATCAGAGCCTGTTCCCTCACTGACCTTAACTATTTCCTTCCCCCTCCTTCACTGTATTCCAGCCACGCTGGCCTCCTTGCTCCTTTACAAGCTCTCCTGACACACTCTTATTTCAGGGCCTTGGCACATACCATTCCCTTGACTATCCCTCCCATCCATACCTTCTTCTGACTTTAACTTAAAGTCACTTGAGACCTCCCCTAACTTTACTCTATCTAGAATTGCGTACAACACGCTGGTCAACAATCCATATTCACCTCACCTACTTTATCTTCTAAGCTGCATTCATCATATACTCTATATTTTACTTATTATGTTTATTGTCTCTCTCCCGGATAGAACATAAGCTCTAATAGGACAGAGCTTTCTCTCTGGATTTGTCTCTTTTTTCCCACTGCTGTCTCCCCAGCACCTAAAATCTCCTGCCCATGGTAATTTAATGAATTAGTGAATATGCAGGTATATTTCTATAACTTAATTTTTATATTTATATATTTACATTTATAGTTTACATTCCTGAAGGAAATTACAGTTTCAAAGCACTTTATCAAGATTCTATTTGTCATATTCTCCTCTCCTCTCCATCCCCAGGTGACTTAAACCATTTTACTTTTCAGCATCTGAGTCAGCTAAGGGCAGTTTGGGACAGGAAACCCATAAAATAATGGCTAAATATTTAAATAAGGCTTCTAGGTTAGTTTGAATTCTATATACCTTGAATTGTGAACAGTTCCATCGTCCTAGACCTAGTGATGATAAGGCAAGATTGATGAAGCGGTGTTATTGGCCTGAACACCATGTAAGGAAAGATCATGCTTCGCCATTACATTCTAGGGGTAATGGAGTATTCTCCCCAGCAGGGGGCATAAGGCCCAGTTCTCGGCTATGGGTTTCTCTCCCTTTGCCCCACCATGTAGTCCCACTGGAGGACCCTATACTCTAGTGCAGAATGGTCTCAGAAGGCCACCTTTTAAGGAGTTCTTAAGACCTTTTGAATTATTGTCAAGACAGTTATGGGGCACCCGGGTGGCTCAGTTGGTTAAGTGTCTGCCTTCGGCTCGGGTCATGATCCCGGGGTCCTGGGATCGAGTTCCGGATCGGGCTCCCTGCTCGGCGGGAAGCCTGTTTCTCCCTCTCCCTCTGCTGCTCCCCCTGCTTGTGCTCTCTTGAGCTCTCTCTCTGTCAAATAAATAAGTAAATAAAATCTAAAAAAAAAAAAAAAAAGACAGTGACTCAGCAGGACCCCTTCCAGCCCTAACCTTTTTCTCTAGACCAGCCAAAATGTGGTCCACCAATCGGCAGCATCAGTATCACCAGGGAGCAGACCCAGTACCAGACCAATTGAATCAGAATCCGTGTGTTAGCAGATTCCAAGGGGATTTGTGCGCACGATCATACTGGAGAAGCGCTGCCCTAGAGCCTTTTTTTTTTTTAAAGATTTTATTTATTTATTTGAGAGAGAGAATGAGATAGAGCATGAGAGGGGGGAGGGTCAGAGGGATGCCCTAGAGCCTTTAAGGCAGGCGTTTGGCTCACCTAAATCCTGCTGTGCAGGTTTTCAAATTGGAACTCAGGGGAACTCAGGGGTCTCTGCCTCTGCGTTCTTAAGGTTGAACAGGAAGTCAAAGCTTGGTTTTCCCAAACTGTCACAGAGGGCCCAGGCTTTAGAGAAGCCAGACTCAGAACTCTTGGTGTGAGAGAGAGAGTGGCTGGCCGACCCAAGCTCTTTATATATTTGTTGTCATTTATCACAGTGTGGTTCCAGTTCACCATATCCCATTGGATAATCCAGCTGCCCTACTCGAAATCATATCGTGGAAATGCGCCACTGATTGAAAAGAAAAGCAATCAAATCACCTCATCTTCCTTCTGTGACTTTGGAGGAAGGGTCCAAGCCTATGCCAGGCCCTTCCCAGTGCTGGGTTCCATCACTCTTAGGTTGTTTTTTTTTATTTTTTTTAAAGGTTTCTGAAATCATACTCTGTTTTCTCCAAATAAGTGAATAAACCAGGATACAAATGTGATAATTCCTATTCCTCTGCTATTTAGGAGATTTTTATTTCTCTGCTACCATAAACTCACAGTAAATATGTAAAAGCAACTCTGGATATATAAGAGCTCAACAGTGTACCAATATCCATCCATGTCCCCATCCTTTCCTCCCTCAACATAAACATACTTTTTTTATTTTTGCCCTTATCTCTCCTAATTTGATTCTCAGTGATCATCTATTCATTTTCTTTTTTTTTTTTTAAGATTTATTTATCTATTTATTTATTTGACAGAGAGCGAGCACAAGCAGGGGGAGTGGCAGGCAGAGGGTGAGGGAGAAGCAGGCTCCCTACTGAACAGGGAGCCTGATGCAGGGCTCAGTCCCAGGACCCTGGGACCATGACCTGAGCCGAAGGCAGACGCCCAACCATCTGAGCCACCCAGAGGCCCCATCTATTCATTTTCTTTTTTTTTTTTTAAGATTTATTTATCTATTTATTTATTTGACAGAGAGCAAGCACAAGCAGGGGGAGTGGCAGGCAGAGGGTGAGGGAGAAGCAGGCTCCCTACTGAACAGGGAGCCTGATGCAGGGCTCAGTCCCAGGACCCTGGGAC